GTTGTCTAAATGTTAATGAAAACCATATTGAATAATCATTTATATTTGTTTTATCTTGTGTTATTGTTTTTAATTTATTACTCAGATTTCTTAGTACAGCTTTTGCATAATTTACCTTGTTTACCAGATAAATTATCAAGATCTTTCTCAACAGTATTTTTAAATTGTATACGTAATGATATTAATTGTTCTTTTAATAATCGATTATCTTTTCCATCACCAAAAAGCAATATCTTGTGAAATAAAACTAGTTATAACCATTTGAATGTTGTTCTTCATTGATTTTATCAAAATAAATTATATGATTAAAAAATATTCCTTTAAATTTTACTTTGAATGATTTTTGAGTTCATTTAAATCTCTTTGGTTTGGATTATTTGTTAATAACTGAAAGAATTCTTTTGATCAACACTTTTATATTGTTGTTGTGGATTGAATTAATTTAATGCTTGTATAAATTCATTAATAAGTGGTATTTGATGATCTATTTTATGACAAATTATTTCAAGATTATATGTTTTAATATTCGATCAGTTATGAAATATTGTAATGTTTCATAACTTAATTTAAATGAATAAACTGAGTGTGAGTGTGAATGAAGACTTTGCCTGTAGCCTCAATCACAGCCACACTCCACATTTACACCCTTAGATACTAATTAAGTATTAATAAATTTTAATTAAAATTTAATTAGATTTTAGAAAATGTCCGTCACAGTCTGTGGGGGAAGTGAAGGATGAGTGGGTCCAAACTCCTACTCACTACACTTCAACACTCCTTTTAAATCGTGGTTCACAATATTTACGGCCAAATTTTTCCATTAACAAATCGACACTGATCGACGACTTATTTAAGAGACTAATTTTAATTAGCAATCGAACACCTGTTTTCGTCAATTATGTTTGAACATGAAGGACATGATTTGATTTAGTTTGTTTTTTTGTTCTATCGACATATATATTTTGAGTCGAGTTTTGATTTCGTTAAGTCTTCAAAATTTAGATTTCCTGTAAAAGCTATAGGGCTCCAAGTATTTCAATTTGTTCGAGATTGTATCAAAGCTCTTTTCTTTTCAAAAAAGATATCATCCTATAGAAAAATGTTTTCTATCAAATGAGGTATAACTCGAAATATTTTGATGTAGAATAAATGCGATATAAGAAAAGTGAAAGTGTTCAAATAATTTTTTGCACAGAAAATTACATGATTTATCGAAAATTTTATTTTCATTCTTGCAGACTAAAGTAAAGACTTTAGTCTATTAAATGGTATAAACAAAATGAAGAAAATCTTCTTTCTTCATTGTAAAATTTC